TTGCAGACATAATTATTAAATATTTTTTTCAGTCAATATTCTTCTGCTTAAGCTGAAGATTTTGAAACTGAATCATTACTTGAATTCATCTAATGAAAAAAGGTATAAAAATTTAAAAATCAGCTCCAACTGTTAGGTAAAATATTTCGAGCATAAACACTTCTTTTATTTTCGTGTTATTAATTGAAACTCTTGTTCCTTTGTGACTAACGAGCATCAATCGAAAAAAAATGAAAATCATGTGATAGATTTCGCTGCATAGTTTAAAAAAGTCACTATGAATCTCAAATTCTTTATGTAACTCATTTATTTCTGTGCTGTCTTTTGCATCGTTCTGCAGATACGCATGTTTTCATTGACGTTTATTTCTTTACAAACTTAACTGCAGTTTGCTCTAAATGAATAAATTGATAACATATCTGAAAGAACGATTAAGAAAATGTCTCACATCATCCTTGCGACAATGTAAAAATTAAATACTGAAGTATAAATTTTGCATTTTTCTAGCTTTGCCGAAATAGATGGATTGTTACGTGGACAGGTCGAGATATTATTTTTCATCATGATTTACTATTATGAAAATCAAACGTTAACTCTTAAAATTTGAATATTTCAAAAAATAATAAACAAAATTTTTGATTTTTTTTTTTATCAAATTGTGTTTATTTATAGCTATGAAGAATCATTATTGGATGAAGTTGGTCTCAATCGAATAGGTATTTGTCCATCATCACTTCTTGTTGATGAAAAACAATTATGTGAAATAATTCTTCAATGTCCAATCATGTTTGATTTAACAACATGGTTACAATGGTCAAATTATTTTCAATTCAAATATGATACACTCAAATTGTTCATTGCACGAAAAGAACAAGAATTTGATCGTCTTCTTTTACTTGAAACTTCAAATCATGAACTTTTACGTCTTCCAATTGATTCATCATTTGATTTATTTGAAAAAGAACTTTATTCAGGAAATATTCGATTAAGTGTTGGTCATTTATGTGCATTAATTATTTGTGAATATGTTAAAGTTAATCAATTACCAATGATTATTTATAGACAAGTTATTAGTACTTGGTTAACTCGTCTTCGATCATCTGCTGAATTAAATGAAAATAGTATCGAACCTATGAGATACGTTCTAGAATTTTTAACATATTTACCAATACTTATTGGTCAACAAAGAATTGTTCAAGAACTTTTACTAGAACCAATTGATGAAATATTTGTAAATAATGAAGACGATCAAATATTTAATACTCGACAAAGAATATGGAAATTGGCTAATGCTAAACAAAAGAGTAAATTAGAAGTCTGGGGACATCTCTTGGATATTGATGAATGGAAAAATGAAAATAAATGGAAAGGAATCAATGAACCACAAGAAGAACCTATTATTCAATCTACATATGAGAATTTTACGCAGCCAGATAGATCAATTCGACGGCCAGGTAAATATGCATGATATTCCTTCTGTTTCATAGAGGAGAGAATGTCAGCTAATTTCGTTTTCATTTAATGTATTAATCAGACAATTAATCATGCCACATAAAATTCGAAGATAACTCGATCTATTTTGTTTCTATTTGATGAACATCAGTTTTCTGTGATTATGATTCAAAAGAAACATCCATTTCAATTGTATAGTATAGAAATAGAGATTTTTTCTATTTAAAGAAATTCTTTTACCTAAAAATGATCAAGTATCAATATCAACTGTTATCTGTCCACCAACTCCACTAATTCAATCAATTCATGAAAGTTCTATTCCAATAATTAATGATAATAATCGTAATCTTGAAGCATTTGAACATATAAAAATAATTCGTGAAAGACTTGGTATTAATAATAATCTTGATACAACTGGCCAATCAATAGTTAGTAATCTTCAAGGATTGATTAAACGAAGTTTAGACAAATTATCGAATGATCTTTATTCTGAACAAGGTCATTTTGTTTTGGAACTTATTCAAAATGCTGATGATAATCAATATGCATCAAACTGTTTACCAACATTACGTTTTGTTATTTCATCAAATCGAATTCTTGTTTGTAATAATGAAATTGGTTTTCAATCAAATCATATTGACGCTATTTGTAATGTTGGAAAATCAACAAAAGGAAAACATAAACAAGGTTATGCCGGACACAAAGGTAAATTCATCATATTTTACTCGAAAAAGAAAATTTTCAGCTAGTTCTATCGATACAAAATATATTGAAAAAAGATAGATTTGGTTTACAAAAGTTTGTATGAATTCAATTCGTTGATTTTGTTTGAAATTGAAAAGATGATTTCTTGAAAGAGAAAAACTATTGAAGTATAAAATCATAAATGGAATAGATCATTGTCAAATCGAACAACAACACAAAACGTATACAGCCATGTGAGTGAACATAGTAATACGGTCTTATCATAATGAAGTTATGGTTCTTAGACATCCGTATCAATCAGAGACTGAAAAAGAACTAATACTGCTCAGTTTAGTTGAGTTCTTCGATTATAATCCTTATGTTACTTATATATTATATATATGCTACATTTAATCGAACTATAAAAACTCTCTTCTATAAGAAATATAGAACTTTTACTATTTTTTCTTCTTATCAGAGGCAACGCAAAGAAGTCAAAGTAGGTGGAGACAATCAATCGGAAAAACGGAGACGAGAGCAAGAGAAATTATCTATACGTTTTTTTTTGCAATCGACAAATTTTATTATATTTCTTGACCTGTTCAGACCATATTTTTGCTTCAGTAGACAACAAGTTACAATAAAAGAAGTTCGACTCTTGTTTTGTATTTTATTCTTTGTTCAATTTTTTATATAACTAATTTTTTACATACAATAGTATTAAAAACATGCAATAACAGACGCTAATGTTACACAATCATTAGTATGTTTCTAATTTTTGAAGAGACAAGAAAATATACGTAGACTTTGGTATTCAGGTATCTGACAGGCCATGCAAATCACTTTTTAGGACTGATGAGACATACAGTGTAGTTTATTTTAAATTACACTCTTAAGCATATCATCAACCTATTTAATGTCAGCATTCGAGAATTTTTTAATCGATCTACTGGCAGATTGTGCCGCGATCAATAAAACGTTTATTGGGTGAGACATTCAGTCTGATAGAAGAATCAAGACAATATATTTCTAACATGAAACTTGACTCATACATAGCCCTATTAGTGTTCAGAAAGTTCCAAAATTTTCAGAAACAAGGGATGTTTCTTTCGTGAGATACTGAATGTTTAACTTTTTAGCAGTTTTTAGCTGATTTTCGTATTTCGAATATCTTAGCAAGAAAGTATTCTTTCTAAGTGAAAATTTCGAAACATATTAAGTATTATCAAAATTATCTAAAGGCAAAATTTCAGATCGAAGTTCTTATTTTTTCAGATTTTACAGGCGTGTATATTCCTGTCAAAGAAAGTTGTGTAGGTTCAGAATAAGAGGAAGTTAATTATTTTTAACTATAGTACGAGTATAATCTCTGTTTTTCTTATTAGATTCTCATTTTTATAAGCGGAAGCCACTGTGACTCTTAAGGGTTAACATTCAAATAATTTCTATGGATACTAGCGGACACACTACTTCTGCTTCTCATATTATAATAAATCAAACTCTGTTGAATTAAAAATATGTCTTAAAATGCAAAGATTGACATCTGTTTAAAGCAATCGAATACGTTAATAAATATTAATTTATTTTTGTAATAATATTGAAGGTATTGGTTTCAAATCAGTATTTATGGTCTCTGATCGACCAGAGATCCATTCTGGTGGTTATCATTTTTGTTTTGATACAAGAAATGAAGAGGACAAAATGAGTTATATTAATCCAATATGGTTAGATGAATGTGAAGAAAATTTATCATTAATAAATGAATGGAATACATGTATTCGTTTGCCAATAAAACAAAATGGACGATCTAATTCATTAAATAGTAAATTTGATGATATACACGCAAGATTATTATTATTTCTTAATCGTCTTCGACAAATCGAAATAATTCATGAAAAACGAAATAATCAAATAGACGTACAAATATTTACTCGAATTGATCATGCTCAAGGTCAAATTATTGAATTACAAAAGAAAACAACATCCGAACAAATTATTAAAAGTTTTTGGCTTGTTGTTAAAACAGTTGTTCAAATTCCAATTAATATTAAAGTTTGTTTATTAAAATAAATTAAGTTTAAAATAAATAATTTTTTTTTAGATGCAATTCAATGATATTAAATGTGAGGCTGAATCAACAACAATAGCAATAGCTTATCCATTAGATCATATTCATGAAAATTCATCATATGAAAATCTTCCTTGTCAACCATTATTTGCTTATTTACCTCTTCGTTCATATGGTTTTCGTTTTATTCTTCAAGGTGATTTTGAAGTTCCAGCAACTCGACAAGAAGTTTTACGTGATAATGGTTGGAATGAATGGTTAAAAAAGGAAATGATTCAACTTATTCCATTAGCTTATGAATATTTTAAAACATTACCAGATATTCTTCAAAATTGTTCAATTGATGTTCAAAATCATATTGGTTCATTAAATTTAATTCAAACAATAAAATATTTTATTAAAACACTACCAACATATAATGATATTGATCCGTATTTCAATTCATTTATTGATAAAAGTATTCAAGGTCTTATGGGATCTATTCAACTACCTATTCTTATAGATGAAATAAATCAAATAATTCAATGGATTTCACCAACACAATGTGTTTTTGTTCGAGATTCATTTATTAAAGAAATATTTACTTCAGATTTACTTTTGTCACATTTTAAAAATTATTATCTTAATGAACAATTTGTTCATGAATGTGGTCAATCAATTTTAATTAGATTAGGTTGTCGAAAATTAGATTTTTCAAATATTTTACGACTTATTCGAATGTTATACACACAAAATGAACAAGAACATACAACAAAAACAACTAGTATTGAACAAAGTCTGTTTTTACTATTTTATTTTATTTTTTATTATTTTAATAATAAACATATATCTAATTTTAGTTGCTCAATGGTTTTTATGTATTGATTATAGTTTACAACAAGAACGAGAAAAGCCTGGTTTTAATATTGATGATGATAATCAAAAAGAACAAACAACAATTGAACAACTTAAACAAATGAAGATAATTCCATTAAAAGATCAAACACAATTAGTGTCCATTGACCAATATCAAGAACGAGCTATTTTATTTCCATTAGATAAATCTATTCCTTATCCTAAACATCTTAAAATTGTTCTTGAAGATCTTCCGACCATTGATGAACGATTACTTATTTATATTGAAACAAAATATCCACGTCGTCTAGAATCAATTAAACGTTTACTTAAAGATTTAGGTAAAATAAAAAAAAACCAAAATCAACATTTATTCGTTGTTTTCTAATTTTCTTTGTTGTACAATTGAGTTTGAATTAGTCATGTAACCGAGAAACAATTGAATATCTCTCTGTCATATTTCGAGAAAATCGATTGAAGTTTTGAAGATAGATTAGCTTCAAAAAGTATTTAATCAATGCTTTCTCTGGTAATGTTTTGATGGATGTAAAATGAATTCATCTGCTCTATCATTAAAATATATTCGTAGCTTGTATTAAGCAATTTCGATATACATATAACTTCATATAAGAATAAATGCACATCTATGAATATAATTACAAACATTTCTGAATTTTTATTTGTATCTCAATCTTAGATAAAAAATACAAACTATTGGATTTATTTATCTTCAACATAGTAATTTAAAAGTTTTGTAATATTTTGTCTTATGAGAATGAAAGATATGAATATATTAGTTTATTAAAGATGAATTATGTTATGAAAAAAAGATATTGTTAATGTTCTCATTTTGGATATTTATCTTACTTGATATTACGAGTATTTGATGTTTAGATAAATCTGTATATGATAGATATTTACAAGAAAAATATGGTTGACTAATTCTTTTGAAAGAAAATGATTCAGATTGAAATAGATTCTTTTTAAATTCAATCACTAAATCTATATTTCTAGTATAAATAGATCCGATACTAATGTGTTTATTGATTCAAAAATATTTGTTTCGTCATTTTTTTTTATGTAACAGGTGTAAGTGAATCACGTAACACTCGAAGGATTTATTTCAATCATATAGTTCCAATTATGTCAGACAATAGTCAATGGTCAACTAAGTCAGATTCTGTTCTTATTGCTTATGTTATATTTATCTATAAAGAACTTTATGCTCTTAAACCTGAGCATTTTACAAGTGAAATGGAGAAATTAAAAAATATGTTAATCATCAAAATACGTCAAGGTAAATTTATTCGTATTAATTCAAATGGTCCAAATGTTGTTCATTTAACATCATCTTATGGATGTAAAACATCGCTTGATTTACTAAAATTATCAACACATCAATTTACATTTATCTCAGATGATTATTTTCAACAATATCATAAAGAATTATTTTATCAAGATCGGGAACGATATCAGTTTATAAATTTTCTTAATGAACTTGATGTTTATGATTATTTTCTTGTAAAAAGAGTAAAACAAGGTAAGTTATCAAAAAGAAAAATTAATTAAAAAAATGAATTTATTAGGATTTATCAATGTTGAACAACTTGTTGAAACACAATGGAGTCATATTATTGGAAAATTATCAATATTAATTTTTGAACCATTTATCATCCAAGATTATCGTTGTGAAGAATTTGATGCGTTGATTTTGTCAAAAGATAATGTTGGTGTTGAACAATATTCTCAGATTTTACTTTATCTTAACTATTGTTTTTCATCAGTTGGACATTATTTTGCATCATCCGTTATTCGATCTCGTGATCAGCATACTGGAAATTCAATGCCAGTATTAGCTGTTGAATCTTCATTTTGTTTGTCATTGAGAAAACATTCATGGATACCCGTCATTGGTGGATAAATCTATAAGCCAACTGATGTTTATTATTTGCCAATTAATCATCCTTTTCGTCATTATCTTCCTTGTTTAGATCAAGTAAAAATACCATTAAAAAATGAAAATTTTATTAATTTACTTGGATTTAAACGTGAAGTTTTTCCGATTACAATTTTTGAATTATTTATGAAATGGTCTTGTAATCTTGATAGTAATTCACTATGGAATTTAATTAATACATATGAAGATCGATCATGTGATACGTAAGTCATATGTTTAAATTAATTCTTGTCTTTAATTATTTTTCATCTAGTATACCTTGTACAATTTCTACAACGATGAATCAGTCTTGTCTTGATACAATAAATAATATCAGTCAGATTTATATGTATTTTAATACTAATAAAGAGATCTTAACTCATCTTCCTCGATTTCGTCAATGGCCACTTATCTTTATTCCTCGAACTGCTGATATTGGTGAATTTTTATTTCCTAATGAAGTTTTTTGGCATGATCCTGAGTCATTATTAACTGTTGGAAATACTTTTCATAACCAATGTATTGCTTTACAAACATTCTATGGAAATGTTTCTTCTTTACAGCAATTATTTGTTAATGTATTTCAAGTAAAACAACAACCAACACTAGAAGATTATCTTCCATTGTTAAATAATTTTGTTGATAAAAATATTCAATATATATGGAAATGTATTCGAGTTATAACACGTTTAGCATTTGCACAAAATAAACAAAAAATGGTGAAAGGTATAGAAAAATAAAACAAAAATAAGATAGAGAAATAAATTTGTTTTTTTTTAAATTGATTTAGATAAATGTTATGATTGGACATTTATTCCTTGTACAAGTTATACACATAATTTGGCTAAATATACTGATCGACTATATTATCCACATGATCTAGTAATTGCTAATCTTTTTTCAGACATTATACCAATCGTTAATATATCAGGTATACATCAACAATGTCATAATAGAATGAAATCACTTTTAGATATGCTTTAAATCTATTTTAATCATCTTTCAATCAAGTCAATGTCCATTCTAACCAATGAGTTTTATTTGAATGTTTTTTTTTTATCTAAACTATATCGATGCCTATTAACTTTTTGGATTTTAATTCAATATGAAGCATGATTTAAAAAAAAACAACTTTTGTAAATATTCATTTTTCTCTTTAG